TAAACCCGCTCACTATGGCATGCACCGAAATTTGTTGATGAGTAATCTGATCAATTGATCATGAAAAGAAAATTTACATAATATTGTTCTGTCCTCTGGACTGCATCGCAGCATAACTAATGAGATATTCTTTTTGTCTACGGGAGATGAAGACCTTTTCAATTTTGATAAATGCATTTAATTATTTCGAGTATGGTAATTTTTGCTGCTATTTCCATTTTAGTAAATTTAAATAAAAATATTAATTTTATGTCTTGTACAAAAGTGCATGAAAAGACAACTGTGGAACTACTTGTGTTTAAGAAAATCAAAACTAGCAAAATTATTTAGAAAAAGCATACCAAATTGTCTGTTTCCGAAAAAATGTCACATGCCATCATAAAAGCGATGACTCAACTTGAAGTCATCGCACCACTCTACTTCCTCACACGTACGAAGAAGAATTTGGATTCCAATGTCTTCTATTAGTAGTTTTTAATAGATAAATTATGATATCTTTGCATAAAAACTTGGATATGATATATTTTGAAAAAATTATAAAAAGGGGCATTGTTACAGTTACTTAAACGTAATTAATGATATTATTAAATTATTATCAAACAGAAAATTATTTCTAGATTAATAAATTATGTGAGTGTCAGTTATTAATTTTATAGATAAATACTATTATTAAAAATAATATTAATTCTTTACTAATATTTATTAAATAAAAATAAAATATTTTTATTTTATTTTATGCTACTTTTTTACTTACACAACCAAACAGTACTATGAATATATAAAGTAAAATGAAGTCATATGATTGTTTAAAATTTACATATAAAAATAAATATGTTCCAAAAATTACATAATTAAAAATTTAATCATATTTTAAAAAATAACAAATTTATATTTAATTTTTCATTGATCAAGGTGTCCCAAAAAAACACTATAATAATCACGAGGTTTTATTACAAGAGTGTGACTTATTTACAGATGCGTCTAACTTCATAGATAGTTAAAGGTAAGTTTGAATTAATATATTTTATATTTTAAAAAACTACACTTAATTTTTTTTTTTAATATTCTCATCAACTTTTAACATTTATCTTTCTCTCTCCTCTTTAGATTCTGATCTAACCGTATTGAAAAATGGTAGGCACAGGTAGGCAGAAAAAATGGTAATTAAAATAACCTATCCCAACAAGGGATAAGTTATTCTACCTTTTTTTTCTGCCTACCTTTGCCAACCACTCTAGAAGACCATTAAATCATAATCTTAATTAACATTTATCTTTTTCTCTCTTCTTTAGATTCTGATCTAACGATATTGAAGAGTGGTAGACACATGTAGGCAGAAAAAATGATAAGTAAAATAACTTATCCCAACAAGGGATAGGTTATTCTACCTACATTTTTTTTCTGCATATCTTTGCTTATCACTATAGAAGACCATTAAATCAGAATCTTAATTAACATTTATATTTATCTCTCCTCTTTATATCTAACGGTATTGAAGAGTGGTAGGCACAAATAGGCAGAAAAAATGGTAGGTAGAATAACCTATCCCAACAAGAGATAGGTTATTCTACTTACTTTTTTTCTGCGTACCTTTGCCAAACACTCTAGAAGATCATTAGATCAGAATCTTAATTAATATTTATCTTTCTCTCTCCTCTTTAGATTCTGATCTAACGGTATTGAAAAGTGGTAGGCACAGGTAGACAGAAAAATGATAGGTAGATTGACTTATCCCTAGAAACAATTTATTAAGTAGTATTTGTGAGGAATGTCTAACCCTATTTATGGGTGTTTATCAAATGATTTAAACTGCGGTGAGTGAATCAAAAATTGATAATCAAAAAATCAAAAAAAATGAAATAAAAATCGCATATTTTGATTTGATTGGATCGATTTTTTTTTTTGTTCGGTGAAAAACGATCCAATCCAAGCAAATCCAACGTATTATGTATTTATTATTTTCAAAATTCATCTAATGCCCTTTCCCAAATTCAACAACCCTTACTCAATTACATCATTAGTTTTGAACCGTATAGTAGATTATTCATAAATTTACACACACCTGCACCACGCCTCCTTTGTATGAAAAACCCACTTTCGTTTTAGAACTCATGAATGTTATTGATATCAAACTACTTTGTTTTAGTTTTTTATTATCAATATCTAGGGGTGAAACTGGGCCGAACCGGCCTACAGGGGCCTTCGACTCGGCCTACGTCAGGCTAGACCTGACCTAGTATATTTTGTAAAATAGGTCGGGCTTGGGCCTTGAAAAAGCTTGTTTAATAAAAAGGTAGTAGACTCACTTTCACAAGGCTTAGCCTATAAACATACAGGCCGACCTATATTGTACTATTTATTTTAAATAAAATAGAATATAATAACTATGACTTGAAGACAAAACAAAAAATATAAATTTAATCAATTGCAATTATTTATAACTTAATTATATTCGATTATATTTTAATAGAAATATGACTTTATTTTCTACGTAAGACATCTCATCATGTTAGATTTTGTATATGAATATATTAAAAGGTTTTTGGGAGATGTTATACTTATTATAAGCATCATGATGTGTTTGTTGGATTCATGTAGTTATTTTAATTTATATAGTATGGATTTGTTTGTTGGATCCGATGAAATATATGTTATTTAGTTTAAGCATTTTGCTTTTGAAATTGACTTAAATGCAGATTGTATGAGTTTTGTTGTGATTCATTATTCTGTTTGGACGTTGAAATTATGATTTTTGGTTTAGCAACAGAATTTGAGTATTTTATAAAGTTGATTCATGGTCCTGTTTGGAAGTTAAAAATTAACAGGCTAACGGGCTAGGCCAGGCCATTTTTGTTTTTTATAAATGGGTCAAGCCATGCTAACAGTTAGACTCGTACTAGGCTTGGGCCAGGCCAAATTGGAATTTTTTGACGTAGGCTTTGGCTTTTCATGACAAAGCTTGGTCCAGCCTAACCCATTTTCACTCCTATCAATTACTCTATTTTAACTCTTCACGAGCTTTAAAGTTTGTTTTAGTTTGAAGACTTGAATTTTTCGTTGTTTGTAATTTTATATAGCTTCATTTTGATATAATTAGTAATTTGTGACAGAAATTTTAAGATCTCCAAAAAATAAAAAACTGACCCATCTAAATTGAATAAAATTGAATTAGATTAGATCGAGTTTGAAAAAAACCAAATCGAAGGGATTGAATAGATAATTTGTGTTTTAAAACCAATTCAATTTGGACCGCGAACACCCACCCCTATTTATATTTTAAGAAAATAAGAGATTAGTGTCATATTTAAAAAATGTAATGGGTTGAAAAATAAAGACAAATACTATATTTTTTGTATATCAAATTCCAGACTTAAAACCATGAATACGAAATCCAAAAGAATAAGTTCGAACAAAGTAACTTATATAGTGTACTGCCCTCTTATTTGTGGATATTGATTGTATTTGCCCATTAAGTTGAGTTTTGACAAATTAAAATCTCAAATCATTACATCGAGTAATTCCCCCTCCCCATTAAACTTGAGTTCAAATTCAATAAAGTGAAAGTTTTCAGACAAATTTACATATTTATTTATTCTTTGAAAATACTTTTTAAGTTACACATTTTATGAGTTAGGGAATACAGATAAAATATTAATAAAGGGTTGAATACAGACAGATCTTGTATGCATTTTTTGTGTGTTATTTAAATATGTGAAAATTGACAACCCAATCTTCAAAGTTCAAACATCATGGCCACTTGATTTAAAAGAAAAATCAACACCCTAATCAATAATAAGAGCTTAAAATTGAATGTCATGTGAGCTTACATAAATTGCAAAAACTGACAAATGAAAAAAAAAAAAAAATCATATAAAACTTGGAGCTTAACTAAATGATAGTCATCAAAATGATATCTGACAAAGACAATCTAAAGAAAAGAATTCATAGATATGGGTTGGAAGGACTATTGTAGGAAAAAAAGGAAAAAGATATGGATGACACCTTAGATCATAGACTACAGTATATAGCTGAGTGCTACTCTCAACAATATTATTAGTTTTTTTACGAAAAATAAACAGCCACAAAATTACACGACTGTCACGGAGCGTTATCGGAACGCGCCGTTCACATCGAGATCGAGAAACGGAACGGTGTAGGTTTTGTAGGGGGACAATGACACCACGCGCTGGGATGGAGATACACGCGCAGAGCCCACAAGTAATGAGTGGCGTCATGTGAGTTTAGAGGGTCCATAAAATTACAAAAACTAGAGAACAAAAGTCTTTTATTTATGCTCTTCACTTCTCTCTTCTTTTCTCTCTTCTCTTCTCTTTCCATCTCTGTCTACTGCTACTATACCTATTATCACACTGATAATTGGAGAGAGAGAGACAGAGAGAAAGAAGAGTGTGAGAAAGGTTAGGGAGGAACCTATCTTCAGTTTCACTTTCTAGCAAGCCATATATACTAGAGAGGAAAATAAAAATAAAAATAAAAAAAGATATAGGAAGGAATGAAGGGAAGAAGAAGAAGATGATGCTGATGATGATGAGAGAGAGAGAGTAAGAAAGGTCGTTATTGCATTTTCTCAATCACTGTTCACTGTGCACTCTGCTGGACCCTTCAGAAGAGAAGAAGATTAAGCTGAGTAGTTCTCTCTCTCTCTTTTTTTCTTGCTGTGGGAAAAAGCCAAAGTGACAGTAGTAGTAGTAGCCACAATAGCAGCATAGAGCATCAGAAGAAATCAGAAGCAGAAAGAGAGAGAGAGAGAGAGAACTTGTTCGTTTTCTTCAATTCCCTTTTTCTCAAACTTCATCACTCACTCTCTTTTTCTTTTCTCCACCAACAATAACCAATTCTTTCTCTGATAAACTTGGCAGAGAGAAGAGACCCCACAACATGAATAACACCCGCATTAGATACACCCTATATTGATACATAGAAGATTATTATTACCTTCCAAGCTGATCAGAAGATCTAAAAACACTATCTACCTTTATTGTCACGCACTGTTATAATAAATAGTATTCAGTTATTATTATTCACTCACAGAGACACTTATCAAACACCTTCAGTTGTGGCTACTACAAGGAGGTTGCAGCCTTCAGATTCTGGTGCCTTCGCTGACTGGGCAGCAACTTCTTCCTCCGCCGCCCGTGCTGCCCCAGACGAACTATCTCTCGGTTTCAATGCAGCCCCCACCGCCGCTGCCGCCGGAACTCCCACCGGACCCACCTCCGGAATGTGGCCCGGTGCCTCTAGGTCAATCAATTACGGTCTCGCACCCGAGATGGGGATGTTCGTCGTGGCACCTGCTTCTTCCTTCCACCATCATCACCACCACAACCAGCAGCAGCAGCAGCAACACCACCACGAGGCTGTTATCTCCGATCCTCATTCAATCAACCCCGCCACCGCACTCGGCGTCGGTGTCATCCCTCTCCTCACCGCAACTCCGTGTCTCGACAGTGACAACAACATGCTCAGTAACCGAAACCGTGGTGGAGGTGGAGGAGGAGGAATTCAGTTTTGGCAGGACCAGCAATCCCATCATAGCCACTACTTGAAGAAGCAAGGTTTTCTTGACCACAATATAAGTTCTTTGAATTTGATTCAGGGTGGCGGCGGAAGCGGCGGTGGCGGCGGCGGCGGCGGCGGTGGGATAACTGCTTCGGCTTCCAATAGTGGGGGAACAACGTGCCAAGACTGTGGAAACCAAGCAAAGAAAGATTGTACAAACAGAAGGTGCAGAACTTGTTGCAAGAGTCGAGGTTTTGATTGCCCTACTCATGTTAAGAGCACTTGGGTTCCCGCAGCACGCCGGAGGGAACGCCAGCTTATGACGTCGTCTGCGGCGGCGGCTGCGGTGGTTGCTGGTTCAAGTGGTTCCACTTCTGGTGCCAAGAAACCTAGGCTTATTACTTCACAGACTACTACAACTTCTCGCACTTCAACTTCTAACACCACTCCTCCTAGGAGCTTTGAAACTAGTTCTAGCCATCAAGGTTTGTGCTTTCCTTTCTTAATAAACTCTAACTAATATACTTCATCTCATGCATATGTATATATGAATTATATATGATTTTTTTGTTTTTTGTTTCATCATGGATGTGTTTTGTGTTGTTGAATTGTGTTTAGATGCGAGTTTCAAAGAGTCATTGCCTGGTCAAGTACGTGCACCTGCGGTGTTCAAGTGTGTTCGAGTAACGGCAGTGGAAGATGGGGAAGATGAGTATGCCTATCAAGCTGTTGTGAAGATTGGAGGCCATGTGTTTAAAGGGTTTCTTTATGATCAAGGGCTTGAAAATAGAGATGTGTATCCTAATCTATCTGAGCTGCATTTGGGTGGTGGTAATGGTGGAAGTGGAAGCGGTGGGAGTGGTGGTGGTGGTGGTGGTGGTGGAGTTGGGAGGAATGGGGTTTCATCTTCATCCCCAATGCTGGATCCTTCTGATGTGTATGCAGCTACAGGTGGAGGGTTAATAGGAGGTTCAGCCTATGGTAATACAATAAATTGAACTGTCTTTCCGAGTGCAAGATATTATTAGATGGGCTTGGAGAGGCTAACGTTGTAGTTCAATTCTCTTCTTTTGCTAATTTTGAGAGGAGGGTGGTTCATTTTCTTCTAGGCTTTGTATCTTATTGCATATGTCACTCTTTTTTCTGCATTTTTCCAACTTGATTTTAGTTCTATTCTTTCTCCCCCAATTTGCCTTTGTCATTGCATGAGATCCTCTCATTGAATGACAAAGGAGCCTCATTATCTAACTGTTAGTGAAATAGTTTTATGTACCATATTAACTCAAAATGGGAAACAAAGGTGGATAAATCTTGTTTTAATGGACTACTCACTGTTTTTTTAAGTTTTAATTACCATTATTGATTTTAAGTTGTAACAACTATGTATCTCCTTTTCTTTGAAGCTAATTAATGTCTTTTCTTTTGCATTTTATTTTTATTGTTTTGAATTTGTCAAAGGTGAAATGTGCAGTGTAAAGTATATGATAATGATGTTTTTTTAAATCTGATATTTTATGTTAATTGTTGTTACAGTACATTCAGTCCTTTGCGCCCTATTAATTTTTCAGCACGATATACTTAGTATTTTGGTATACTTCCTTTTTTTCTGAATAGCCATAATATTCTATTTCCATGTTTTGTATGTTAATATTATATTTTCACCTCTTGGATTCCATAGCTTGCTTGGTTTTGAAGTGTATAGACTGAAATAAATGTTGGTTTTACAAATAGTTGCTACTTTGGACTTAAGCATGAGAAGTGGTTGTAACGTCACCATCATTATATGTCTGTCCTTTTCATCTTTGCTTATTGGTCATCTTTGATGCGTATGCAGCCTGCAAAGTTTCTGCATTCATGAAGACATGATGTATTATTTCCTTTTGTTATTGTTTGGAATTCAGACCATAGCCATTACCGAGCCTTATATCTTTTCTAACCTTTAAAGCTCCTTTTGCAATGTTTCTGTTGCTCCATTTTGGTGTTCCATGATGGTTCCTTACATTAACCAACCATATTTGCAGCTTCATTCTGTACTCTATGTTGATTTCACATTGCTTTCTTTCATCAATAAGATCCATTTGCTATATAAAATATTACTCCTTTTTTTTTTTTTAAGAAAAAAACAAAATATTAGTTGTAATATTGTAATTTAGTGTGGTGATATTCTAGATGTTGCCTTGAATGTCATTTCTTAATTATGAGGATAATTAGTGTCGGGTTTATCTGCTCAGCTTTTTGTATACTTTAATGCCGGGGAAGATGCAAATATGTGTCACTTATTTTTTTGGCTAGATTCTTAGTTACTGTTTCTGGCCATGGATAAACAAATGAATCATTGTCTCTATTCATTGCATCTTTGGATTGTATATTCCTGCACATGCTGGCCCCTTTTCTTTGTCTTGCAGTACAGTATTATATATATATATATATATATAGGAGCAGGATCTTTTGATACCAAATCTTAACAGTTGATTTTCGTCTGATTAAATTTATTAATTATTAATTCCCAATAAATAAAAACCGTTGTTTGTCATTAATCAACAGTTAGGATTTGGTGTCAAATTTCAAGGTTTGGCACCAGTGTCAAAGGATCCTATCCCTATATTATATATATATATATATATATATATATATATATACATATATAATATCTTGTTTTGTGTTTGTTATACTATTCTACTCCTATAAAGTGCACATGAAGAATTGGATTGCTTGTGGCATGCTTTGATAGTTTATTAACAGATTGCTATTGGAAATGCAATCACATTTTGTTGTGTCCTGGTTCTTACTTTTCTTTGGCTTTGTTAGATTTGTTTTCTCACAATATTGAGCTGTCCAACACTGCCTATCATGTCAATGAGAAAGTAATCATTGAGTTTACCTTTTCACAGATGGTGTTTCAATTTCTCTGTCTTTAGACAAGTCCATATAAGGGTTGTATTTGAAAATTGAACTATTTAGTTGTGCCCTTGAGCATGCATTTGTCATGTTCTCATATGTGGGACATTTAGCTTATTTGGTGCTTGCTATTTATTTCGCAATCCTGAAATTTGGTAGTAGATATGAAGCTGTGATCCTTTCACTACCTTCATTTGTTTTCTTCTCCAATGTGAATGATTGGATCACTTGCTTGGGTTGCTATCTCTCTATACTTGGGGGTCCTCCCTTTGTATTTGGGTGATTATATTGTCAGAACCTATGATACAATGCAACTTCACATGGTTGTTGCAATAATGGTGGTGCATATAGTTACTTGTCTTCACTGATGGGTACACTACCTTTGAGCTGCTCACATTAAAGCACAATTAAGTTGTGCATATGCGTTTTGTTATGTTCTGCCAGCAAATTGGTTATTCTCCCTTTGCTTTTTTAAAATTGTCTTTTTACGAGGAGAAAAGTTCTTATTTTTTTTTAAAAATAAAATAAAATAAATCATGTATTTGTCTATTTGTTTTTAATGACTTTTGTAGTTGATGTATATATATATATATATCATTCTAGTGCTAGTTCTTGGATATATGGATATGCATTTGATAGTCGTTTCTCATGTTGATGAGTCTGGTTTTCGTTGATTGTACCTCAGAATTCTGTTGCTTTTACGTTTTGTAGTGTGATATCTCTATGCTGGTTGCTAAATGAGTTTTTATTATGTTTCGGTGTTTCCAGCCTTAATTTGTTAACTGTCATGTTTATGTTTGTTAAGAAGGTTCTCAACAAGCAGGTTTTCACATCTATCATCTCCTTCCCATTATTTTAGTCACAAAGATTGTTTGGTTATATTTACAAAAAAAAAAAGAAAAAAGATTGTTTGGTTATGCATCATGAAAAATGATTTCTGTTCCTTGTTCAGTTGATTTCTTTTTGGTTTTACTGCACTTCCCCAACCTTTTTATATGAAAGTTTAGTTTCTTCAATAATGCATGTTCTGATTGACTTTGATTCTAACGATGTGGTCTTGGGAAATAAAGCTGCTGCATTTCTCTTCATGGTTTTTGGTATACTGAGTTGGTATAGTTATTATATGAATGATTTTTTTACTTTAAATTGATAGTGTGATTTAAATTGATATTGTGATGTGCAACAATCCCTATATTTACTATGGACTTATTGCTGTGATGTATAAGACTTGATAGTATAAGCTTATACTATATGTTATGACATTTTTAGTTGTTTGGTGTGATTATCGTATAGTATAAGCTTATACAGCATAACTCCTGAATACATCAAAATGATGTATAACTTAATCAGGCCTAACAAGATGAGATTAGGCTTGATAAGAGGTTGATGTATTAATATTGTTTACAAGTACAATTTTCAATAACTATTATATGATTTTAATATTAATATATAAAATTAATTTTTTTTAATATATTAATTTTTAAAATATTGGAGGATATTATTTTATACAATATCATATCAAATGCCGTATAATATTAAAATTTAATTTGGTCTTATACAATAATATCTTATATTATCAGACTTTATTCAATGCTATGTATCAAACATGTTCTAAAACTCTAAAGATGAAAGAAAAAATGATTCAAAATCCAAAAGCTTCACTTATTGATTTCAACTGTTTTTTTGAAGCTATTACTTTCCTGTAGTAAACCTATTTGGGGTTCGTTTTGGTGTGCTGTGTATATAACATATATATAATTGATAATGTTTATAAAGTTGTAGAATTTCCAGTAGTATAAGGCTGCAACGGTTAAGTTGTATTATGAACAAAATTTCTTTCATTTACCAAGCATAAGTTTCTAGCCTGCACTAATGATTGTGGGTATTTGTTCCTTTTCTCATAATGCTTTGACATCAAAATGCAAAGTCGACCGTTTCCAATGCATTTTTGTTTCTATAAATGGCCATGCTCTATCATATATAGGGTATGCAGGCACGGCCTCCATATATGGTAGGCAAGGACAATAAAACCTGCACAAAATGTAATAGACACCTAAAAACTATGTAGTCCTGTCCATCAAATGCCATTACCAAGGTTCATATTGCATCTCCATATGCCACTTCGTACGAAAAAGAAAGAACTCTGGAATAAAGGATTTCACGCCAATGTTAACGGGAGACAAGCTAACTTTCACGTGAAATTATTTTAATGTGGCATACGATTTTTTATTTTTAAATACTAAAGAAATTTTGAAAAAAAAAAAACTCCAAAAAGGTTAGCTGAATGGGTTTTGTACTGTCAACAGCCAATAACTAGTTGTTAATGAAAGTGGTGGGGTAGAAAATGTACATGTATATTAATGTTTAAGAAATTTTTGCGAGGAATATTGTAGAATGGTAGAGAGCATGATATAAGTGTGTTTTGTCGAATGATTGAAGATGATGAAAGTGTTCTATTTGGATTTTAAATTTGACAACTTTTGGTTACACATGTCTAGTCTAAATTATTTTTGTATAAAATTGAAAAATTAGAATCTTACCCAACAAAATTTGTATAAAATAATAAGTTCTATAACCTCGGTGCCATCAAGAACCATAGCCTACAGAATCAACTGCAAAAATTTGTAGCGTGAGTTGTATTCCTATAATCAGAATATCTCGAGTAGCTAGTTTATGATATTTGATTATTTTTTTTCCCCTTACTCTTCCACATTTTTGTTTTATCAATTTCTAAATAATTTTGACAATTAAAATCGATTTCACTTGTCAGTGAAAACATTATCCCCAAGTGGGTCAAACATTCACAATATATCAAAATCGAAAACTTACGGTAGTTTAATTATCCTTCTTGAAACTTAAGCAAAACAGTACCGACTCGTTTTCTTCTCCGTGTTTTCTGACCCAACTATCTTTTTTTTGTAATGAAACTTTGACTTTTGAGGTCCATGTTCTTGTGATTGTGAATAAATATTATTTTTATTTTTATTTTGTGGTTCACCGAAGGGTCACTGTTGAGAGATTTGCATTAGGCATTTGGGAAACAGTTGTAACACGAAACTGACCAGAGTCTTCTCGTGTTAACATTTAGAGAGAAAATAATTTGATTAAGATGCATGACAGTATAAAAAAACATCAAGCTAATATATCTGTTATGGAATATACTAACCACTTACCCAAGGATAACTATCCAATTATCCTAATAATATAAAACAGTAAGGCTGCTAAGGATAGAGTCCCTATCCCAACAGAAAGGAAGTTAAATCCTACTACAACTGAGAGATCTACACAAGCCCAATAGGTAACCCTTATAAATAAGAGGTTAAAGACCCAATGTA